AAGCTTAAGTTCACCGATGGAGTTATGGGTAACGAAGGTGAGTGGCTCCTTTACTGGATGATCATTAAATAAAAGGCACGCCTACTTGGCTCCCTTTTTTAATGTTTTTCTTATTTCTCATAATTTTTCTTACAGAAGTTAAGTTGACTGCATTCGACATGATGGCAATGATTAAACAGTGTTTAAGTACACTAAGGGAGCAAAAGAACGAAAGTTACAAATTGGTAAGGACTCTTAGAACTTCCCATCTTGTCAACGCAAAGCGGAGCAGAGCATTGATATTTGGGAAGGCAAATATTAGCGCTGACTTGGTGGGGTGGTGAGTAGCCTGTTTTCTTTCAAGGACACAGTACTCCACAAGTGGGCATCTAGGGAGGTGCCACTTTTCCGCAAAGGGCTGATAATTCCGCAGGGGTCGCGAGATAGAGCCACTTTTGCAATGGGAAGAGCGTTAGGTGCTCAAGATTGGATCAGCGCGTGCTCATCGTTGCGACATCTGTGTCTCACTTCCGCTACGCCCTCTCTCTGTCGTCCTCTTGACTCACAGTGTCTCTAAAGTAGTCTATAGGCCCACTATTAGGAAAAGAAGGGCCTAATTGAAAGCGTTCCAGTGGTTGTTGTTCATGGTTGTTGTTCCATTTTTTCAACTTGAGAAATAATTACCAGGCACAGTCTCTAATTTCAACCTCAACATCTCGTTAACGTGTTACTGATATCTTCTGTTTCTCTTTATGTCTGCATCCCTATCTCCATTTTCGTTGAATTTGTATGGGTTATAATCATGTATTCGCCTTGCAGACGGATCAAGATCTCGAAAGTGTCATCGGGCAAACAAGCGCGTCTGGTGAATGGCTACCGATCAAAGGGGATAAAGAGAACAATTTTTGAGAAATTTCTGCATCTGTAATATTATTTTATTCTATTTTTGATTTTACGTGTAAAGATTAATTTTACGGTATGGCTTAGATTCCGGCAGCGCTACGATTGGATCCAGACGAGGTAGACAAGCGTGACACGGACTGCAACGACTATCGGGTGTTTCAAGGGCGTCAGTTCCGCGTTTCGGCAAAGGATGAAGCTGCTTTTGAGCAACTCCGACTTTTGAAATTAGCGGCAACTACCAGGCGCACAAAGCGGAGTCGTGTTGTGATCGGTAAGTCCAGCTACTAGATTCCATGGTTATTCCACAAGCTCCGAATCTGATTTTCGTTTTTATTGTTGTGCGATTTCATTCTTGTTATTGCAGATTATTCTGAGAATGAAGAGGGGAAAAATGAAGAGATGACAGAGAAATTAAAGGTAAAGCATTTTCGTGTGCTCGAACCACCTACAAAGTTTCCCATTTTTTACTGTGTGTGTTTTCAGAAGGCAGAGCAAGAACGTGCTATTGCAGCTGAAAAACGTAGAAAAGCAGCTGACGAGAAGAAGAAAGCGACATGGAATGCAAATGGTGAGAACATGAACCGCCCTCTTGTTGCAAACGGTCACGCCTCGAATATTCGAAGCTTCTTCTTTACTTCAGCGGCCCAACGCTTGAAATCTTTCCAACAAATCCAGGTCTCCCCTCACCTACACTTTATCCCCTCCCAAGGAAATACCCTCAATTCACAGCTACATCAGAGCACTGTGGGCGATGATGGTGATGTTGAAGTTCTATACGAATTTAGTCCGCCTTGCAAAGCAAATAACAGTTTCCATCGCTCTGTGAAGTCTCCGAAACCTGCTTTAGCCCCAGCAAACAACGTTGTAGAGCCAGAGGTGATCATTTTAGACTGATTAAGTTAAGCATAGCCTAAATCCTCAAGTGCATGCTTTTGCATGTTTTTTTTTGTGAATTGCTGTTCATCAGAAGTTGACTGTTTATTGAGTTAGTCCATGCTTGTCTTAGTTGTGTATTAGTTAGACGTGTACAGTAGCGTGGTGTGACCATAATGCGAAGAATTAATTGGTAGTGTTGACATTCGTTAGACTCACGATCGCTCAGATTTTGTAGTGGTGCGGAAGTCAAGAGTTATAACTTTTGGAAACTAAATTAATGGATGCTCCAATTATTTGACCGAATTTGAATCCCGGTTTTTGAAGAACTCATCTTTAAATGCAGTGTTCACGTTAAAGTGTTCCGAAATTCTCCATTCCTGTAAGCTTGTTATAGGGAATTTTTGTACAGCATTCTGCGAGTATTCATTCGCAGGAAAAACACATTAATACTCTCTATGGTCCTGAACCTCAAAATCAGCGTTAGTTGGTCAGAGCTGTCAAGAGCCAGTTTGCTGCTCTTATCTGGCTGCCTTACCTAAACATTTTTCTGTTACGGCTGTGGTCTCGACATTCCAACTTTTCACACATTAACTTGGTACCGGCTACCCGTCCACTACCCTATCCTGAAAATCCTATCCTCGATTTGTTCATTAATTGTTTCGTAATATACGACGCTTCCCAATATTTGTGTGAGAATAGTCTTTCTCGGTGGAATTTCGCTCGTGACAGAGATCATTAGGAGTCCTGCTTAACCCTTTCGGCCCTGGCGGTGGCAATTGCCACCACCAAATTCAAACGCTTGCATTGCCGCTGAAACAGCATGGTTTTTCTAATCCTGCTAGAGGTTGCTTCAGTCAACCTTCCCCTTCCTAATTATGAGCTAAACCTGCCATTTCATTGTGTGTTGCTGTTAGTATTACAAGTATTTGTGTACAAGTGCAACAATGAATCGGCGCTGGTCCCCGCAACCGGCCAAGTAAGTGTCACTTTTTCTTAAAATACTTGAAGTAGATCCATTCTTTAATCAAAATTATGGGTTATAATGTTGTGCAAGATTATAAACTTTTTCGGCATAACTATGAAATTTGGAATTGTTTCGACATAAGCTCAAAAACTAAGAAGGTGGGCCAATTTTCAAAGCTTCCTAGTTTCTTAGTTTGTGATCGAATAGCTTCCAAATTTCGCCATAATGATACTTATATGCTCACAAGTAATAAACAATAGCTAGAAGAAAAATTTCTCCAGGAAAAAATTCACTGAAAATCTTTGCAAAATCCTTGAATCTCCCTCCAACATTAATAGGTCAGCTGTGATCACTAGAGACAAAGTTCAGAGAAACAATCTCAAAAAACACATTAGGGACGGTCACGGGTAGGTTGGGCGGAGACAAGGAAAAGCATAGAAAGAAGTGCGCTTTGGGGTGGCCACGTATTAGGCGACGCATCGAAAGAATCGAAGCATAGTTTCCTAATTGCGACATTGGAGACAAAGCGATCGAAGAATGGGATTCAGTAGAATAGAGGAATGATCGATATGAATGATATCGCCATTGGTGAAAAAGAGTAACCCGTGAAGGCAGCCCGAGAATCAAGTGGAATCTTTCCAGCCGTCAAAATTTGTGACAGATGTACGGATAAAACGATGAAGGGTACAGGTGAAAGGCCTTCTGGTAACACTGAACCACCATCGTAGGTGAAAAGTCGCGAATTCTCAGAAAACTAGCTAGGCGAGAGCGCAAACGAGAGAAAATTGGCGCTGTTCGAACCTTTCAAACTCGAAACTCTAC